CCGGGAAGGGAAGGGAAGGGAAGGGAAGGGAAGGGAAGGGAAGGGAAGGGGGAGGGGATGTGGAAGGGATGGGGGAGGGGATAGGGGAGGGGAAGGGAAAGGGATAGGGAAAGGGAAAGGGAAAGGGAAAGGGAAAGGGAAAGGGAAAGGGAAAGGGAAAGGGAAAGGGAAAGGGAAAGGAGCTCATATTTTTTAGGCATAACAACCTTTGGCCTAGTTCTTTCCTGTTGCCCCTGGGATAAGGTCCCAAAGTTGTAAAAGTCTGAAGCTTACTGCAAACCCTTAGTGTAAAAAGAAATATGTCATGTTTGTGCAGGAACTGGCAACCAGCTTTCAGTTTTTGTCCAATGCAAGTATCTCTGTCTCAGTTGATTCCTTGCTAGTGTTCTTAAACTACTAAATTACTTCTGTATTATTCTGTCAGTTCAATCAATTCAATTTTCTGCTATCCAAAGACAGAATATTTGAAGAGAGTTGTCATATTGAGACTAACAGCTAAAAGATTGAGCTGAATTTTTCTGCAGTTCCACATACTGTGGACTTGCACTTCTCCAGCAAGCAGTGTGACCTCATGGTTATTCTAATGGGGAAAGCATTTGTTTTGCAATGCTATTTATTGTTTCTTACATATCAGTGGAGAAGATTAATGTTTCAGTGTAGCCTTTATTAGACCATACAGTTTTAAAAGCTTACAGACAATTTCATCTTTTTTGAAACTCTTGTATGAAATTATGTATATTCACAGATATTCAAGCCTCTAGGATTTCCACACACATTCTTATTGCTAAAGACTGTGGCACCTCTAAAGGTGACACCTACTCTCAAATTTTTCAGTTTCTGTAATGGACAATATATGTCTATTCATCAACTGCATTATATTGTTGGCTTGATATCCTCCCTGTATCTATGTACAAGGCTAGAGGAACACAGGAACTGATTTCTCGTGAATAGCAGGCAATCCTCATTCCAAAATAAAGTTTGAATGATATTTCAATGATACAGCGGGCAAACATTCTGCATTGCCTGCGTTGCCTGCAGTACAATATTGGTTTATTGCTTTCCTTTTGTAAAATACTGCCTACCTTATAAACTGTGTGCAACTCCCAAGTAGTTCTTCCCATTCATTATCTGCCTGATTGCCCTAATTACATCTCTTTGAAGGAAACTCTAACCTTCGCACTGGTAGGAACTACAGAACCAGTGGATCAACCCTAACACCAGCTGCTTCCTGTATTCAAAGTCACAGATCAGTGTCCAAGTATTATTGTGTTGACTGTTTCCTTCACTGTCAGTCCTGAAAGGGCCACCTCCAAATGTTGAGGATTGCCTCACTGCCTGCAGACCTCTGTCCCTAACAGATTAGTAGTGGCACTAAGATGGCATCAGGTAACAGAGATGCCATTTTGCAGGTTAGATGTGAGATCCTTGAGAACTACTGACTGACTGCTTATTCCAAGACAGCTGGGTTTTGTCTCAGAGCAGTAAGTACAGCCCTACTGAGAAACACATTGCTTTTGTTTTTGTGTGTGTGTGTGCTTTTTTAAACTCTTTAAAGCAGACAGATAGCCCAGATTGCCTTGATTCAATGTGATTTCAAACAGAAAATTATACAGTAAAACAGTTGTCTGATGTGCTATACTTGCAGGTCTCCAGACAGTGGGAATATTCAGAGTTGGAAGTTCAAAAAAGAGAGTAAGGCAGGTGAGTTGATACGGATTTTCTTTTTACTCATCAGGTATGACACAAATAACCCTATTCCCTTCTCTTGAGTAATTTCTCCTTGTCCTTCACCTGGAGAAATTCAGGCTTTCTATGTCAGTGACTTTAGTGTGTATTTGTTAGCTCATAACAGCCATCTTTTACACTTGGTGAAATCTTTCTAATGATCTCACTAGATTAATAGTCATTGTATATTTTGCTCTGCGGAAGCAGCAAAGGATTGGAGATCCAGATAGTCTACTGTGATGAAATTTTTCAGTTTACAGTGTGAGGAAAAAGAAATCTTGGCTGCTTATTTATCTCAGAAAGAGCAGAAGCTCCCAAAGTAAGCCCAAACTGTAAATCTTTTTTGGAAAAATTACACTATGAGGAAATATGGAATTACGGAGCAATGTCTTTGACCCTGTGAGAAGCTGGAGTGAGACACTCAAATTGCTGCTTGCAAACATCACCTTGTTCAACTTCAAGGTCAGACCAGACCCGTCCAGTTTCTGATGTTGAATATTGGCCAAATGTTGAAAAAGCAGAGGTTGTGTATAGTTAGGTTCCAGAGACAATGTCAGAAGTGAGGTTTTCCTCACTATTAGCTATTGCGTTGTTATTCCAAAAAGCTGGAAATACTTGTTGAGTTAGAGTAGTACAGCATAGTGCTCAATGGTTTTGTGATGCTTAGGAGATAACAAAAAGTTAGCATAGAATATTCCTGCTAGAAAATTTAAGATCAAAATGTCAAAATACAGCAAAACAAAGGAAGCCTGATGACACTGATCCTAGGAATAATAATAGTACTGTTTTGCAAAAATACACAACATAATGGTTGGCTCTTTGGAAATTTATCATGAATAGCTAATTTGACTTGGTTCTGAATGGTAGAACAGTATAACCTACTGATTTGTAGTTTACTCTCTACCAGTTAATACTGCTGTGTGGCTAACGTACCATAAAGCTGAAAACCCTCATGGTCTGCAAAGACAGTTATTAGATCAACACTAAACGAGTAAAAGTACTGAAAAGTAAGCTGCCTGTCATTTGCATTACAAGCATCAATGTGAAAACATTTGTTATTATTCAAAGATGAGTGTATTTGTATCATACCTCTGGGAAAAAGCAGAGAGCTTGTATCATTTGCTTGTATCCTAAGCCTTACTTCAAACATCACTTTCACCATTTTTTTCTTTTACTCAGTTTTAAAAACAGAAGACATTGACAGATTTGGGTATTTATGTGTTATATTACGTTGACTAATTCACTGAATTAGGTGAACTAATTTATTTTATTAAACAACATGGAAGCATCACATTGGCCTAGCAGTTAAAATAATAAATGCTGTCAACACGAACACATGGGAAAGTTTGGATTCAATTAAAATTCCATTCATTTTCTGAACCATGGAAGGCCAAGTCCAATACTTAGATTTTGGTGTGCTTTCACAGCTGCTCTTTAGTCTTTGTACAGAAAGTAGGCATAGTTTTGTCTCTCTTCTTCCTCCAGTTAGAAGTTCTATTTCAACTGTTGCAATAAATACATAAATAAGTGCATGTCACAGCAGGTTTTGTTTGTGGTAATCAGGAAGAGAAAATGAAGAACAAATATATGCATTACAAACCACCTTAAAGCTTTCTCACAGTTTTTGGGGTGCAGGATTAAGTCTCCTGAGCTGGAGTTGACTGGAGGTTGCACTTGATGCTCTGGAGGTACCTTCCAACCCCTATGATTCTGTGATTCTATGAGGTGCTGGGTTGGGTACGGGCTATTTTCACACCGAAGAGAAAAGATGGAGCTCTCAGCCTGAAGAAAGTTTTCTGCTATTAGTGTTGGGAAGTCTCTTCAGAAAGTCTGGCTGTTATCTTGTCAAAAGACATTGGCTGTTGGTGAGCGATTTCTTCTGCCTCTGCGACATTTGGTACCTTTGACTTACACAGAAATTGTCTGAGAACTGTAGTGAAAATTAGCAATACTTCAGAATGGTGTTAGTTTGGTGTTTGTTAATTTTCTAGTAACAATCATTTAATGAGTATAACTAAGCTAGGAGGGTGGAACAAGATGTGTGGGGACCAGTGCCAAGAATTCTTAATGAACATGTCTGTTTACTACTTAGGCTTAAATACGTACAATCTTAATTCACAAAAGAAATGTGAGTTTGGTAACCTTTAACATTGCTCTATTATTGTTATCAATGTTTTTGTACAAAAATATACACGTTATGAAATGCAGTTTCATTCTTTCCAAAAACCTGAGGATAACACAGTAAGGTGGTATAAGAAAGCCTTTTGTCCAGTTTTCATTATTCACCATGGTTTCTGTCTTTAGTATTAGTCTTACATTTCTGCATTTACTTAGCGTGCTTTTTTATAGAAGAATGCCATACATTAGTTGGAAAGAAGCTTATTACAATCTGGTACAAACTTGAAGTTATGTACCATGGAATAAGCAGCAGTTAGATGTGAACTACAATCTGGAAAGTGAAAATGTGTTAAGTTACTTCTTGAAAGATCTTTATCTGTTGGAACATACTAATTGTGACAATGGTAAGTGACTGAGTTTTTATGTCATGGTCTTTTCCAGTTGCGTGAAGAGTTTGACCGGGGCATAGATGTTGTGTTAGACGAAGAACACAGCATTCATGATGTTGCTGCTTTGTTAAAGGAATTTCTACGTGACATGCCTGACCCACTTCTCACCAGAGAACTTTACACACCTTTCATCAACACTCTCTGTGAGCTCTGCAGCATCTTGATTTACTGATTTTCAAAAGCTTGTTTGAATTCTGTAATTTCTACACACTGTATTCTCTTTCCTGTCATTTAATACTCTAGCCTTGATTTGCTCCAAATATTTGTGTAGCATAATTTGCAGAAGACTTTCCTTGGTTTTCGTACTATGTAAGATTAGCCCTGAGAACTAAAACAGAGATTTCACTTTTACATTGGTATACAGGATGAATTCATGTTATCTGTTAAATTCTGATCCTGTTATTGGTTCAGCAGAAGCAGATGACAGACTTCCATCTGTATCCTAGTATCTCAGCACTTCCAATGTTTTTAGTTTGTATAGCCATTCACTGATCAAAATTTCGATCTGACTTCAAAAACCTAGCATCAGAAGTTCAAGTTTCTTTGTAGTTAATGATCCTCAGAGTTATTATGTTAAAATAGTCCCAGCATACTGACCTGGATGTAATCTCAGAAAAAGTAAAGTTGGACCCTTCAAGATCAAGCTGCTGCCTAGTATGCGTTTTCAGTTTCTTGCTGAAGCCTTCATATCTGGGATCCTGCTTTTATACCTGCTTTTATACCTGCTATATCTGAACGAAAATAATATGTGGAAAATTAAGCAGAATTTTTGTGTCTGGTGACAACAAAGTATGCAACATGGAATTTGCTCTCTTATAGACTGAGAGAAGAGCCTATGAACCTATGAGCAAAATGTTGACCAATCGAAGCAAAATTACAGTAACAGTATTTGTTATGCTTTGATATTTCCTTGAAGTTTTATCTTTTTTTTCTGTTGTTTACAAAGAAAATTACTGTTAAGCAAAGCTATTCTCAAGCATTCCTTTGGGCTGGGAACGGTATATTTGTTCTTATTTTAGGTTAGTTGGAGTGCTTTTCTTAGAATGTATTTTTTCCCCTCTTAGTATTAGAGCCAGATGAACAGCTAAGCACCTTACAGCTTCTCATTTATCTCCTACCTCCCTGTAACTGCGATACCCTACACCGACTGCTGCAGTTCCTCTCCACCGTGGCTGGCCACGCAGAAGACACCACAGACAAAGATGGCCAAGAAGTAAGTCCCAGCCACTCTTTCCTTTGACTTTGTTTAATTAATGGACTGGAAAGAGATCTTTGGGCCTGTGAAATAACCATAGTGGTGACATGTCCGTGAAAGATAAGGGAGATTTCTTGTTCCTGTCTATAATTTGTCATTTAGTTTTCTGCTATGTTCTTAGGGCTGTAGGAGGGCTACCACCTATATGAAAGTGTCAGGCATTCAGGTGCATGTTTATTTATTCTCTTCATTCTCTGACGTTGCTTTCATACATAATCTTTGGACATAGTTCATTTCTTGTTTTTCTTTGATTCCTTGTGTTCATTAGATAGCAAAGAATAAAAAGTAAAATAGAGGAACTCTGGCTGTGCCCTTCTGTCTGGTAAACCTAATCACTATTTGAAATTAGGATCTGTCTTTGTCAGTTTTTCTACTGGCCATCTTGTGGTTGCATTCACTGAAGAGAGTAGAATGCAGCCATCTCCAGAGATAATACCCATAGCTGTGGTGTACTAAGAATCATGGAATGGAATCATTAAGGTTGGAAAAGACCTCTAAAATCAACAAGTCCAACCACTAACCCATCGCACCATGCCCACTAACCACGTCCCCCCACATCTACACTTGTCTTGAACACCTCCAGGGATGGTGACTCCACCACCTCCCTGGATAGCCTGTGCCACTGCCTCACCACTCTTTTGGACAATATTTTTTTCCTAATATCCGCTGTAGTACTTCTGAGCATTGACACATATGCATCTGAACAGTCACACTAGGGAAGATCTGAAAATCCAGCCTTCCCATTTTCTGCCAGGAAAATGTTTGAACTACTGTGCTGCTCTGCAAAAGGTGGCAACTGTGTTATCTTGGAATGAGAGATGGATACAGCCTGTCAAAATTGGCAGGCTTGGCAAAATTGTGCCCATTTTTTTTGTGGAAAGGATTTCTCATTCCTCTGAAATGCAACAGAGATTACTTCTGAGGCTACTTCTGACACTCTGCTGAAACTCCTCCTCGCTTCTTTGGATGCTTTTTGGAGTTGGTTGGTATTTAAGAACAGGCACCATGAAACTGTCTTTTGCTGAATTTCTGCCTGAAGTTTGCCTGAAGTTTGACGGTAGAATTGCCTGAAGTTTGATGGTTGGACTGGATGATCTTATTGGTCTTTTCCAACTTAATGATTCTATAACTCTTATGAGAAGTCCTAACTTCAAATGCGCTGCATGAGCCTTTTTCAGAGCCTTTCAAATGCTATTATTTCTATCCTCAGCAATACATTGATAGACAATTGTACCACCTTAACGGAAGGCACTTAAAAAGAGCAGCCTGTAACAATTTTACTGTGCTTAAAAACAACGTGTACATAAGCCAGCTGAGGTCCCTGCCTCCAGCAGAGGGTTTCCTGTTGGTTCAGGAACATCCTCAAGAGGATCTTAATACAAGGCTAAAGGCTGATGTGCTTAAGAGAGTGAGTCTAGTAAAACTGTTGTAATAAAAGCATTTTCAATCTCCTTAAGAGCACATCAGCTCTGCTAAAGGTATTTTGGCAAGGCAAATTTAGGTGAGCCATCTTGGCAGTATTGTAAGCATCCATCAGGAATATTATGTGCAATTGGATATCTTTTACAGATAATACAGCATTCTGCTCACAATATCTTCAGCTGTTCATTAATAATTAAGTGAATAAAGGCATATGGGGCAAAAGAAAATATTTTATAGGCTGCTATCATTGGAATGAAAACAGGCAAGCTTTGGCACACAGTCCCTTCCTCATGATTTCTTTCAAAAGCCCTTCTCTCACAGATACAGAGATAGATGACTAACTTTGTTAAAGTGACTCATCCAGCTAATTTAATTGGGAATGTTTACACCATTTTTTTAAGGAATGCCCTGAAGCTGCCCTTAAGAAAAGACACGCTGTACAGACAGCGTGCATATGCAGATGGGGGCACAGCCAGGGGCTGCCCTTGGCTCTCTCAAAGCACCACGTGCCTGTGCATCCTTGGTGGCTCAGTACTCTGACACTAGTTAAAAACTAGGTCACCCAGGAACATCTGTGTGCTCTGTGGTGTGCACAGGGAGTGTTTAAGCATTATTACGCTGGGGCAAGTCTCTAAAAACAGTCAGCACATTCATTGTAGCTGCCCATGCATCTGCTTGTTGCAGGTATCTTTCTGAGATTAAATAGTGGTCCCAACAATAAATGAAAATTCTGTTTTTTACTGCCAGCTCTGTGCTACCTGTTGAGCTCTGTATAAAAAAAAATAAAAATAAATAAAATAAAATAAAATAAATTTAAATTAAATTAAAAATTAAAAACAAAACCAAGAAAACCCAACAAGAGTAGTCAGTGTACAGTTGTAAATTCAATTGGAACATTCAGTGTATGTCATCTACCAAAAAAAACCCACACCTAACTATTTTAAAGGATTCATTTTGTACCACTCATTTCATGAAGGGCTGTTTTTCTTCCTCTTTCTGTGCCCATTTTGTGCTCGTTCTGTCCTTTTTTTTTATTCATTAGTTCAAATGTAATTGAAGCAAATGAAAAAATAATGCATATGATACCTGTTTTCTTAAAAAAAAAGCCTGCAAGAAAAACTGGTTCAACTGACAAATTTCACTTGCATTCTTATATAGTCTGGCATCATCTTCTGCATTCCCAGAATAGCAATCAAGTAGAGACAGAAAGGAAGCACATAATGCTTGCTTTTTCTCTCTTAAAAGAATAGGATGGGGAAAAAGTAGTCTACTCACAAGCTTGGCAATGAATATCTGGATTTAATAACCTGTATGACATATATTTCAGATTGTTTCTGTATTGGTGTCTATCCTTCCACTTCTTCCAAAGTCAAGTTACTACTGCTTTGTTAAGCACAGATATGGAGATGCAAAAGAAAGTAAAAAATAAAAAGAAACTAAAAATTGGTTTAAAAAGTAAATATTTAGCATGTTCTAGGAAGCAAGAAAAAAAATAGAAAAACACTAATAAAAACAATGAGCATAATCCTCAAGTATCCAAGCCACTTAACTGTTTGAACTTGCAAAATTGTGCTTTTCTTCACTGTGTCTACTTCATATCATGAGTGCTAGTGGAAGAAGTAACTGCCTGTGGTATGTGGTCTGAAGAGGTGGTGATATGGTAAGGAACTGAGGTAGGAAGAGACTTCCCTGAGTTCAGATGAAGTATGCCATTGTCAAGCTGACAGGAAATTAAGGGCAGACAGCACTTTCTCCCACTTGTCCTCCAGTTCATTCGCAAATCCGTCTAGAAAATCCACAGAGCTTCTAGCAGGGATGTCCAAACAAAGTCTTTCAGCATTTCTGAAAACGGTTAAATGTTTGACTGGCACTCTTTTATTTTGATGAATAAACTATCTGCTAAATGTCTTGTGTGCGTGGATTTGTGAGTATGCATGTATCTCTCTCTGATCTATATCGTATATCATTAGATCCTGGGAGCCCCTACTTCATTTATTTTCTGTTTTCCAGGTTACTGGGAACAAAATGACATCACTTAACCTGGCTACTATCTTTGGCCCTAACCTGTTGCACAAGCAGAAATCTACAGACAAAGAATTCACAGTTCAGAGTTCAGCTCGAGCTGAAGAGAGTACTGCTATCATAGCTGTTGTACAAAAGATGATTGAAAACTATGAAGCCCTTTTTATGGTATGTGGATGATTCTCTATGTTACTTCCAGGCATTTTTAAGTTAAATGAGGAAATACCAGGTTGGTATTAGAAACCACAAAGATGAAATAAACTGTGGAAACTGCATTAAATTAAGCTTGACTTGTATTAATAAACAAAGTAGCCTTCTGTCAAGGCTAATGCTTTGCAGCAATAATACTGAAAATTTGTAAGTACATCTTGCTAGGAATGGTTTCTATGTAGATAAGAATATCTTCCTTAGAAGATTTCTTTGTCTGTGGGAATGATTGATGGAGATGGTTATTTAATTGAACACTAAACCAGGCGGTATCATTTCTCACTAGTTCTAAAGATGAGACTGAAAATGGCCTTTCACCTCTCAGGGTTAGAAATTAATTAATTTTACTGAAGGGAAAAGAGGTTCTTGGTTAAAGGAACAACTTTCCCTGTCAAAGACTTCTTTCTTGTTGGTCGCATGGGAAGAAAAGACAAAGTTTTCTTACTTGTCATTTGGCTAAGAGGAGTGAAGCATGAATGTGTGTTATTCCTGAGTACTTTTCTATTCTCTTGCTGAAGCAAGGATGTTCCTCGTGGAAAGGACAGTGACCTTTGATAGGGCATGTTTTGAACAAATAATTCCTATATATTATTGCCTGCTGAAGATGCAATTTAGTTAAAATACATTGATAAAGCCTAGCAGTTACCTGATCAGTTCATTCTCTGACCTTGTCTTTTTCAGTCTATGAAATCATAGGTAAGTTTTGCATGATTTGTGCCTGAGGCAGAGAGCTCTACTCCAGGGTAGCAGAAGCCAGTTGGTGGGCACCATCCCATCTTCATTGTAGTAGAAATAAATGTCCTGACAAAAAAAAAAAAAAAGAAAATCTTAAAAAAATGAAAATGGCTTGGTTTGCTGTGGCTTCCTCCCTTCCTTTCTCTCTTCCTCTCTTGCTCTCTTCCCTCCTCTCTTTCTCTCTTTCTTTTTTTAATGCTTTTCACAGTTTGAGGAAACTTTAGGTGCTGTTTTTCCTTCCAAAGCATGAGAAGAAAGTCAGGGAACAGGTTCTGTTCTGGAACTTCAGAACTTCTCACAAGTTCTGTTGCCCAGAGCATGGATGGCACTAACAAGTTTTAAATAATACTTGAATAAGAACACCTGCAATACTTGAAATATCTCATTGTTATTCTTCTTTAAGAACACTTTACGGCACAACACATCATACTTCAGACACATGTTCAGTGTGGAAATAGCAGGGTTTAGGATTAGGCTAACCTTACCTATGGTGTCTTTTCATTTTGACAGATTTATTCCTTTACCTTTTCAGTGCTTGAATTTATAGCTGAAAGTTAACTGCAGTGTTGAAAAAAAGAGAAGCTTTCTTTGTTCTTTAGGGCAGACTCTCAGATAGTAGAGGGAGTTTAAAATCAGATTTCAGAATGAAAGGTTAGCTGCATGTGAGAGAGAATCAAACCTATCACAGATGCTCTCCTGAAAGCTGAAAGAATGTTGATGTAAAATTTACAGAAATTCCTTACAGATGAGCATCTCTGTGTGCTTTTACTCTGCCCGTTCCCACTGCTTAACAAATAGTATGGCAAGATCTCTCTGTTTTCTCAGGAGTAATGTCTAGAATCGCACATGGTATTTGATTTGTAGGACTGGCAAATTGCTCACTGCTACTGTTTTACAAAGCTTAGGTTTGCTTTCAACTTTTGCATGTTCTCCTAGGCAGCACAGAGGAACTTCTTGTATTCTGAAGATAATTAACCCAGTGCATCCTTTGGTAATTGATGCATAGAAATGAAAATACTCATACATTATACTGTAGTATAATTCTGATCATTTGAAATCAGGCAGCAACAATTCATTTTGTAAATCTATCCGAGTGGAGCCAAACCAGGACTTCTGTTTATACTTAACATTTGTGCTATTTAAAAAAAGAAAAACATCTGGACATGAGGATCCAGCTACAGCAATAACATATAGTGTATTGATGCCAACGTGTTTTTGTGCTTTGCTTATCATTAACGTTAGTAATATGCAAATATGGATATAGCATAGAAGATACACTACTACCCTTACTTCATAGATGTTAATGACTTTAATATCCAATTACTATCCATTTCAGTGAGTCTTAGAGATGCATTAGTACATGTTGCTGGAATGTTCAATGTGCTGCTTTTTGCTAGTCTCTGAACAGTGCCCAGCAGTTGAATCCAGGGAAGCTGAACTCAACCACCCTTTCCCTCATTGGCTTTGCGTTGGCATGGAAGATGAAGAAGAGAGGTTATGCTTCTAGCAGCTCTGCCATGCAGTTATGTTGCCTAGTGCCTAAATCCATCCCTCCCGCAAAGAAGCAGTATGCAGAGTCTGAAATTTATTATTTTTATTGTTAGAGACTGCTATGGTTTCACCACAGAGGAGGCACTTACACACTGCCTTTCTGTGACACTTCAGTATCCAGGGACAGCAACTGTAAGGGTCCCTCCGCCCTTCTATGCCTCAATAGCTGTGATGCCCTAATATCTCAAAATTATCTCCTGACAGCCCTAAGCCTTCTGATCAGTCCTGGCATCTCAACTGGCATCTCAAGGACTGCTGAACAGATGCAGTTATTTCAGTGGTGCCTTGGCTTCTGCATGTCCTTACCTTACCCTTCTGTCCCTTAACTTGAAGTTCTCATCCACCTACTCAGCCGTAATTGCCAGCTAAGCAGTTACTTCAATAATGTCAGCTCTGTCATCTTCCTGAGATGTCCATATAGTAATTCTCTATAAATATAAATTTGTTTACACACATATTGTTTCTACACTTCCAAGTTAGTTAACCAAACCGATAGAAATTGCTTTCAGATGAATTCCTCTCAGTGAATTCTTACATGTTTAACGACTTGATTCTAAGGTGAATAGTAAGTTAAATGCAGAAAGGCCTGAAACCTGCTTCACTCAGATTTTGTCTGGATTGAGTTCTACTGTATAAAAAGGCTGTCTAAACTGAAAAATCACACAGCACCAGGTTTTCAAAAACGTATTACTATAAAGATAAGATAATTTATTTAAAGACTAGTATATGATTGCCTATTGTTAAGAAATTTTTCCAGCTTAGAAGTCAAAAGTAATTTTTTAAAAGAAAGTCATAGTCACACAATTTTTTCATAAACAATTTGAGTCAATTTGAATTAAATGATGACTATCTTCATTTATTTTCAGATTATTTCCTTTATCAAAGTAATATGTCTTTTCTGTTACTTGACTTCTTAATTATGTTCCTTCCAAACTGAGGTATTCCCCTGAGGAATCTATTAGTAATTCTATTCCTATTTCCCAGTAAATGTCGGGGAGAATAAATGGCCCATGCAGTGTGACCTGAAGGTCAAAAGATATAGGCTCTGACAAATTGCATCCACAAGCAGATTGCACAGTTGATGACCCCTTGCTGAGATTGTCTTGCCTGCAGCAATACCTGTCATGAATCAGGCCCTAAGCAGAATTTAAGTTCTTCTAGATCCTAGAATTTGGCCATCCAGATATCTGAAGATTTCATGTTTACCTCTACCATTGAAATGGAAGAATGGACAACGGAAGAACTTCAGAGATAGAGCTCTTACCATGAAATTTCTGTGTGAGAGGGATATAAATAAATTAAATGCCATGGAATATGTGAAGAAACATTTTCCTTCCTGTGTAATTACATCTTGTGTTATTTCAAAAACAGGTGATACACAGTTGCTTGGAATTGAAATTTTTAAGTATCTCCAGATCTTTGATTGGAGATGTAAGATAAGGACCTTAAACTGGGGCTTTTGTGACTGCAGTACATGAATAATCCCACTGTTGTTATAATACTCAACTGGATACCAATAGGATATTCAACAGTGATCAGCATTTGCCTTTGAGCAAAGTGGTCCTCAGTCCTACTTTCATCTGTTATATGAAGCGTCTCTTTTAAGTGGGAGCATCTGGATATTTGTTTTATGTACTCTTTATAAGTGTAATTGTACTTGATCTTGCAGATTAAGCATTATACCAAAATGAATGTATGTGGAAGGAATGTTTATCTCCAGTTAATTATTTTTTGTTTTCTTCATAGGTTTCCCCTGATCTACAGAACGAGGTGCTTATTAGCCTATTAGAGACTGACCCAGATGTTGTGGACTATTTGTTGAGGAGGAAAGCTTCCCAGTCATCGTGAGTAATTAGTTCTTTCATCATCCTTGTTTCCGCTGGGAATTTCTATCTCCCCTTGGAAGTGTTCTAAAGGTTGTGGTTTTCCGCAGCTCTTCTGCACTGTCTACAGTGGAGTAGAGAAATCCTCCACATTAAACAGACTCTGCCAAAGAAATTATGACTCCTGTACAGTGTTTTCTAAAGACAAGTCTTGTTTTCCTGGTTCAAAGAAAAGATTGTGTTCTGCTGCAGAGAACAGAATGAGATGTACATAAAAGTATTCAGTGCACTATTATCTGGCAGGATGTATTCTAGTGATTGGCTGGTTCGTGTCTTGGGTTTACTGTAGTCTTCAGTAAGAGGAAGTGGAAACACCCCAGAGTGCCTTAATACAATCATGGCTAACTGTTTGACCAGTTTGTTGTTCTTTTTCTATTGTATGCACTTGTGAACTAGGTAGGGCATTGTAAACAAGTCAATTGTTGCAACAGCAGGCTTATGAAAATTCTTTGGATATTATTTAATCGAATACTTTGTGAAATATCTGAAGAGAAAAAGAATCACACCAGTCACTATTGCGGTTATGGTACATAACATATTCCAACTTTGTGTGTGCTTTATGTTTGCTTTCACTCATGTGCCTTAACGCTATGACTTTGTACATTTGGATTAACAGGACTCCTGGCTTTCTCATGGGATTACACAGTCATTGCCTTTATTTTAGTGAATCCCAATATGCCAGACTGTCAAAATTACAAAATTTGATCAGCTTGCTTTAAGTCATTTTTAAGAGGTTTCCTAGATGCTAGGATCTCTGCAACAGATTAGACTTTGTCTTCCTGTGTGTGTGTGGGAAGTGCCTAGTGCATTTAAACTATAATTAAAATGGAAACTGTACAGTTAGTTATGTTTTTGTTTTTCTCTCCCTCTGAACATTGTACTTTTGACAGTACTGTAATGGTGTGCGTAGCTTGAAAGGAAGATGTATGAAAGAAAAAGTACAATTAATACATTGGGGGAAAAGGCTACTTCAATTACAAAAATTGAAAAAAAAATCAACATGTGGAATATATCATGTGTTGTAAAGGATGTTACTAGTTCATTAGTTTAGCCACATGAACACATAACACAAGCAAATTGTCACATATCATCTGATCTGTGATAATTGTCTGTGTTTCTATAGTGTACTGCAGTTAAGAAATAATTTCATTTAATGTGATCTGACTGACAGCAACTAGCCATGTATGTATTTAGTTCACAGTAAATGCCAAGTAATTCGTTACTTTAGACGTCTTTTACAGTTGTTTCACATTTACCATAGGCCAAGACCACAAATCACATGACATATAGTAATAATATGATACTCTGTAGAGACTTCTTTCTTTAAGTCCACAGTTTGAAATGATCATATTATTTGTATGTATTTCACACAGTGAAAACCTTCGTGGTGGAGTTCCCAATCTATATAATAGACGTAAAATTGTATCTCACATGTGCATTCACATACTAATTGAGTGTAAGTTTATGTTACAAGTAACTGTGAGTGAAACATTTTATTGTTAGATCCTGTTTATTTTAAGTTGATTGACCTTTCCATGAGCATCCTTAATTTTCAGCCAACATGCACACCTAAAGGAAAAAACAGATGTTTTGTGGACAGCTGGTCACCATAGACCAGCTTTGTAAGAAAAGGTTACTAATCCAGATAGGAACATTATGGCTACGCTACTACCAATGTATTGTATTTTTAGTAGTGGGCAGGTGAAGTATCACTGAGATGGGAAAAACAATTTCTCATTTGTCTTTTACTCTGATATCATATGAGTGATTTATTCTTAACATTAATGAAACATGTTTTCACTGTCATTACAACTTCTTGGTTAAGATATTCCAGGAAATTAGAGGGAATGTTGCTCAGTGTTATTGCTCAGTGTGATGCTCTTAAGAGATTGATCTTCTTCAGGACATAATACTGACTTTGAGGTAATGCATTTGTTGGTTATCTATTCTGTAAGAAGTGTGAGGCAGCAGAAAACAAGGAGATACTTGCCTTGATTTCATTGCGATGACTATCCAACATATGTCCATACAGCTCTTGGAATTTTATTGACATGACATTCCAAATTTGGATCCATGGAACAGAAAACTTTAGATATTCTCGAGGGAATCTTCATCAGAAAAGCTAGTTGGCTGTGCAATTTAGTGTGTGAAATCAACTTCAAGATTTTAATGTCATATTACTTGCTCTGAAGGTCCTGTTACTGCAATTGCTCTCTCATCTCTGCTTTTGAGGCGATTGCAAATGCTTTCTTCACTCTAATCTGACAGAAAACACAATTTCTTTTCCTCCTCCAAGGAGGACAAATCAGATGTTCCTCATCTTTCAGTTCTCTTAAGAGTTGAGCATCATGAATGGTGTGTCAGGGACTTTATGGAACATGGTTGTGGTAAAGCACTAATTACCAGTGGCAGCAATTATGAAGGCTGCTTTTGTGGATGACTTAACTTTTTTTGTATGTTGGCTTGACAATGACAATGGAATTGCAGTTTCCAGCTGTAAGATGAAGAATCTTTAAGACAAAAATAAAATGTTTCTTATGAGTATTTATCACTTATCGAGGTTAGCAAATAGAGCAAATGTGGCTTGGAGTAATTTTAGAGTAAGTATGTTTTAAATGCATAGAATTTTCAAGTGTTTTGGATGGTGATGATAGGTTTTAATCCACCTTAACCTGTGGCATCCAAGATGAGGCCATACAATAGGCCATACAGTATGTTCATGTACAGAGCTGCAAAGGCTTCCTGAATCATTGAGTCCTCCATCCTGTTACAGTAGCAACCGGTCCTGTAAGAAGCTGTTTTGTTGGTGGTACCTCAGATGTATATGGAAATTGCTTTTTCATGCTACCAGGTCATTGCACTTTGTATGGTTCGCCTCTTCATATAATTGATTTTCCTCTCAGAAGCATTCAGGTGTTGCAGAAAAGGATTTCTGCCAAAACTGAAATGAGATTTCCTGTTTTGATGACCTAGGCACCATTGGAAATGTAGGAATGTCCTCCATGGAAGTAATTACTGTTACTAAAATTTTTGCAAGTCACTCATACTGCTAGACTCTGATGGATAACTTAAACACAGAAGGATGCCAGTTAAAAGGAAAACTCGACAGTATTTTTGAACCAATATGTTATAGGTTCTTTTTGCAGCTTTCACACCTTTCAGTCAGATGGGGATACTTCACCACTTCTTAAATCTTTTCCTTAATGTAGTTCAAAACCTGCAGAAAATATTTTACTTGCTTTCCCATTTCTGACATTTGGTAATACATAATCTACTATTCAAAGACTGCATATAGGTGAGTGTGTACCCCATGCAGGATTTACTTTGCTTCTGTATTTTTCTCCCCAGTGTGTGGGTAGACAGTCTCACAACCATTCAAGTGAAGATGAATTCTGAATTTTAGTAAATATCTGATTGCTAATGAACTCAAACTGTAAACCAAGCAGACACAAAATTTTTGTTTTAAGGAATATATTGGAGTTCGTTCTTTATTTGGTGTGAGCCAAAGTTTTTTTGTTCTTAAATAGCATCTTAAAATTATGTAAGTAAAGCAAATGTATGAGATCAATTTACAGCTTCAAAGTATTCAATCCATTTTTAAGGTTTCTTACAGTAATAATCTTAGTCTACAGGCATTTTCTTTTATTTTTAAAACTGTTTTTCCTAAACAAATTTGAATATGATATTAGGTATAAATAATTGTGTGAGTTTACTAGCAGAAACTGTAAATGAGGTTAGAAGCTTGAAGTTTTCAAAGGCTTGACAGTTTCCATTTAAGTACATTTTTATCAGGAGCTCTGTCTTGAGACAAGATAGACTATAAGAGGTCACTGAAGGTAAGACATTAAATTGGTGTTTCACAAAGCTCAAGTTTTTGTTCCCGCATCCTTTGTTTGCATTTCCCTTTGCCCTCATTCCTTGTGTTACCTTGCCATTGCTATGCAGGGCTAGACCTCCTTCTTTGCCCTGTGCAACGCAGTTAGGTTTTGGTCCTGCAAAGATGTACATGTGACAAACCTTCCTGCTGTCAGTGTTAGTGTTAAGTATGTCTTTATGTTAACAGGATGAGGTTTAGATGACGCTCAGTCTAGAAAGCTGAAGAGAAAGACGTTCAATCACAGGAAATCTCCGGATAGCTACACTGCTCCCCTTTTCTCTCAGGTCTTTCTGACTCTTCAAAGGCTCTCAAAACATTACTTAAATGGATCTCATTTTGACTCACATTTACTGCACAGCTTTGGGGTTTTTTTTTAGAATTCAGAGGAGAGAGAGGGAGTAATAAGGAACAAATTAAAAAAAAAAAAAAAAGAGGAAGGAGTTTATTTTGTGATAGCATTTTAGAAACTTAAAGTATGTAAGTAAAGTACGTAACAATTCTTCAGTAGCTGTAGATTTATTCACCCTGTCTTCATCTTCAGCTAGGAAGCTACACATCTGAGAACATGATTTACAATTTCTTTTTAATGATTCTCCAACATTACTGTGCCAGCCATTCTGGGAAGCCTGGAGCAGTACTATTTAGCCAAATGGTAGCTCCTATTTTGTAAGTTGGCCCTGATTAAGCCTCAGAGTCAGATTGGTGTTGGTTTCTTTGCTGGGGGGTAACTAGGAGAAAGCATAATTAAATCCCAACACTTTATGTCTCCATTTACACTGAGAAAAAAATTAAGTATTGCAAAACATACTAATCATAATGTTGAGTGTATATGTTCTATAGTTCAAGATATAGCACTCGTAAATCAATGAGGGGGAAAGAAACAGCTTGAAAGTGGTATTAAGGTTTGTCAGTATCAGTGTATCAAGCTTCAGTTTGCTGCGGTTGGCCTGTGTTACCACTGTGTGTTTTTTTATTTTCCTTCTTCAGTTTTACTTCATTTGTCTAGAAAGAGGGTTATTGTTCCATAATGAATAACGTGCTTTAGTTGCTCGCTCGGTTTAAGCCATCTTTGGATTTAGCTCTAAGAAAGGCTGATCATTCTCAGTATACATGACAAGAAGGACCCTCTGTCATAACATGTACAATTACAGCAAATATTAATGTGAGGTCACTGATAAAAGGAGTTTGACTCAAGACAAGAGCAGATGAAAGATTAGCATCTAAGAAACACAGATCGAGGTTTGGAGAAGTGAAAGATGAGTAACAAAAATGCAAGTGGGGGGCAACTGACAGGGATAAAGTATGGTTGCAGAGGACTTCTCCATATTATTTGGGATGTTCTGTGTGCTCACAGATTGTCTCCTGTCTGCTTAGTATAAACTGTAACAATATGAGAAATCCTCTATGTTTTCACACCTTAAAAATGAGAGGTTTCTCTCTGAGCTTGGGATGTAGTTTTTGTTGGGGGCTTTGCTTATTTTGAGTCAAAATTAAAGCCAGTTGTTTGCTGCCTCCATCGGAAATATGATAGAGATACGGCTGGTCCTCCATAGAATATTTACCTCTGGATACCTCCAGAAGAGGGTCCTGCCTACAGTGCGAGAGATGAGCGAAGTATTGGCTTTCACTGACTGTATATTACTGTAAAACGGAACAAGTTATTTTAGCATACTGCTTATCATCAAACTAATCTTCCCTATCGTGCCCTCAGATTTATTGTTGCAACAAGCAGAATGGTCAAGGTAACATAAGGAATTGATTCACTGTTTAATTTCCTGTGACAAACTGTGCAGCGTTTGGTTTTTATTGTTTTCGTTCTTGAAAGCAGCATCTTTTGATTTTTAGTGGCCCCTGCTGGCCGCTCCATGGCGTAAGCTTTACTCGTGGAAAATTCATTTCTACTGCTTCCGCAGTGTTTTCATTTCAGCAGCTGTGACCATACTGTTGCATTTTATTTTATTTGTGTGACGTCAAAGTGCACGCGTTGCTGTGAACATGAAGCATTTTTTATTAACCTCATTTATTTAACAACTTTTCCCAGAAGCCCTGAGATGCTGCGGTCAGAAGGTTCCTACTCCACGGGAGAAAGGCACTCTTCCACAGACTCCAACAAAGCTTCAAGCGGAGATGTCTCCCCGTATGACAACAACTCCCCCGTACTGTCTGAGCGCTCGCTGATGGCAGCACAAGAAGAAGTTGCACACAGCCCAGATAAGCCGTACAGAGCACAGGAACAGTACGCACTGGGTGCTCATTTGCAGCCTAAAACAAAGGAGAATTCTTCTGCATCACAGGCTGGAAAAGGTATATCCTCCTCGTGTTCCTCATTCTAAGTGACTGACAGGGGTTTCTGATGTAGCTGAAAAGTGTCTGCTCTCTATTATCATCTATCAGGACTTGAGTTTGTTGTAGTGTAACAGCCCCACAGGTAATGACTGACCTTAGCTCAGCCAGCTGTCAGGGGTGGTTTTAGTGTGGCATTTGTCAAAACTTGGAGCTATTGTATAGGAAAAGGAACTCTTTACGTCCAGCTTTTCAACCTTTTTCTGAGCATGCTAAAGACTGTTATTTCTAGTTCTGTTTGCCAGGACTGTAATACCTGCAGTGCTATGCCCCAGCTTTTGGAAAAGTCTGAGTTTAAGATGTCAAGCTGTAAATTTTGTGCAGTTGAAAAGAATGACTTCAACTGCTTTGCACTGGAGAACACAGCTGAGCTGCACAGCTTTATGTCTTTTACCAATAACACACTTAGCAGTACCAGCATGGGGATCCATAGTTTCCATACCTGTCTAGGGAGTGCACACCTGAATTATTTCTTCTGTAAAGAACTCTTATTAAAGCTGATAGCTCACCAGCTCTGCCAGATACTTTTCATTTAAAAATGTCAAAAAATGTTAACAGTTACTTTCATGAAATATACAAATAGTGAGCCAAACTTAAAGGAATTTCAGTGTTTAGAGGTGCAGAGAGCTGTTTGGTAGTATTATTTCAGAAGTAGTGGTTAGGCAGTTAATTCCATATGGAATTAATGGCATTTAGACTACTATCCCAGTGGTAAGCTTTGTAAATGCCATTGGGCATTTTTCTTCTGTGTTCAGCATCTAAATCTCTGAACTGGTTTCAAAACATGGATAGATTCCCGCTAAGCTGTGAACAAGAAATGACACAAAGTTTCATCATATTAACCATTCTTTGGACTTTAATATGTATCACAATGATAGCAAACTGTAAAGAATTACAAAATTTCTTTCTGCCAGATGGAATTAGAAAATGGTACAGAAAGATTAGAATTCAGCATGAGGCCTGGTATGTGCCTTTTGTTAAATCTATTTTGTGACAGCACTTCCTTGCAGGAGCTTTGCCATTCTTTCTCTTTGGGAAGCACATGAACTAACTAACTTCTTTTGGCCTAATCATCCTGTTCTTATCCAAAGCCTCCATTCTTCAATAAAGCAGAAGACAAACAAAAGTTCATTCTGTCAGCAAATTTAGGTGTTCCACTCATACAGAGTTCACTAAATTCATTCACAGGATCTGAGCTTGAAACAGTGAGTAGGTGCATACACTTGGTCTGTTTGTGCTAGTGCACAGTGAGCCCAATGCTAGCAGACGTTGATAACTCTGATATATACAACTTTGCATAAAGGTTTATGCAAATTTAATTTACTGCTCCATTTACATATTTCTAAATAATGATTTAATGAATTCATCCTTTTCTTCTTACTCTTCTTGCTATTTAGATGTCTCAGAAGATCATTTTGATATCTGGGGAACCTGGCATTCAACGCTGAAAAGTGGCTGCAAAGACACAGGCATTGCAGGTCAGAACTTTCTCAGAACTTTTAAGCCCAAAGCTAACAAAGGCAGAAGCACTTTCTGGGTTTTGAGAAATCACAGTGAAATTAGTAGAACAGCTCATGTTGCCAAGAGTTAAATGTGTATGTAAACCACTGACTCTTAAAAGTTTGCTGTTCAATCAAATGAAGAAAAGCACAAGGATTTTACAAATGTGGCAGCATTTTGAATTATTAGAAGACAATTTTAAAAATCATTTTCAAGTTACTTCAAAAACAAGTTTGAATAGTTCTGAAACTCACTGTGGAAGGTGAACACAGTGGGCACTTTTAAGTGTCTGCAGAAGTGGCATGAGCACAGCCCATGAAGCTGCAGCTCTGGACTCTGGTCCTGCTGGTGGCCCGCATGGTCTTGACAAGTCACTGCCCTGTTCTGCCTATGGTATTCCTCCCATCTGCACCTGCTCCACAGAGGAGCCATCCAAGGAAACTGCACAGCCTCTGGGCAGCCTGAGCCACTGCTCCATCACCTCCATCACCTACCCAGCACAGAAGTATTTCCTGGTGTTCAGAAGGAATCTCTGTGTTCTAGTTTTTGCCCATTGCCTCCCTTCCTGGCACTGGGCACTACTGATAAGAGCCTGGCTCCATCCTCAGTCTGATAGCCTGAAAAATAAATGCAAGGCTCTTGCTCCGTGTCCCCAGGTTCAGGCAGTGGTGGGGCTGTTAAGCCTTTAATTGCATAGCCTGGAGATAAAAATCCCTCTCTCTCTTTGTGATATGATACAAGGAAAAAGCAGTGACTTGTAGAATGCCATGTAAATGACTGCAGACTGACATCTTTCTTACTTTGTCCCCCAGGTTCTTACGGAAACATTTACGAAAGCAGCTTGCTGCGGCCTGGACAGTGCTCTCTTTCACAAGGGAACCTCTCCATATATTCTCCTCGGTGGCAGGGCAGCTCCTCCGAACTGGATCATGGCAGGCAAGTCATGCGCAGGAGTCAGACAACTGCCGCCATTCCCGAGTGCCAGCTCCAGCCTGCCATGTCTCGGGTATGCAGTAACCCGCACATCGAAGCCGGAGGAAGGTGTTTGGACCAGTCACGCTCCAAGTCGGAGCGGCACTTGACTTTAAGCAGTGTGGAGGACCTCACTGAGCATGACTCGCACGCAGGTTGCTCGCAGAGCACGGCTAAGCCCTCCTACAGCAAAGAGAGGCCACCCCCTCCGTACCCTGGGCAGCCCAAAGCAAGCTCTGCGTTGTCGCAGCGATCGAGCGTTTCTTCACCGTTGCACTCTTTGTGGAGACTTCAGCGCCATGACAAAAGTGCAGGGACCAGAGCAGCTGGAGGGCCTGTGGCCAAAGCCCCTGAGCAGGCCGTCTCCAAGCAGGAGCGCCCGGCCCCGCACACCCAAGCAGGTCACATCTATTCAACGGCGGCTCGCAGTCAGAACAGTAAAAATGTTTCAGAGCCAGACTGGCACGATTGGCAAAGAGAGAGGTGGCAAATTTGGGAGCTTTTATCAGCTGATAACCCTGATGCCCTCCCAGAGACCCTTGTATGATCAGACTCCACGGAACTGCCGCTCGCACCTTTGCTCCCTCTCATAGGAAAACAATGATGATATTGGAAAACTGGGGGGTGCTTGTTCATTTTCTACCGAATAAGTTACATATAATTTTTTAAAATCTCGTTCACTTTAATTTCCTAACAGCACTGGCAAGCAGTCTATTTACAAATACAGTATGTTCCTGTTTTTCAGCAAGCTTGTGAGAAAAGAAGAAGATGGAAATGTTAGTCCGATAACCCTGTATGCATACATACGCTGTTTATAAGATAAAACTGTTGCTTTGATGTGGCTAAAATGTATTTATATATCTGCAGTTTGATGATTGTATATTCTGTAATGGGTATTGTATGATAATCATATATTATGTTTTCATATACAGATGTCAATCGACCGTGACTGCTTTTACAAAAAATCACTGCACTTACATTACCGTCATACGCATTGGAGTTCTATAGGAAGTGCACAAGCTGGTTTCTGTGCTTGGGAAAAAAACCTAAAGGGGAACGTTGTCCTTCTTTTCACTGCCTATTGAAAAACACTAGAATAGAGTGGAACATGAAAAGCCATATATTTTATAAGGGTAGTAGTGACTGGGAGGGGGGGAATACCAAATATTTTTTTTCTTATAAATATATTTGCAAACAAAATTAGAATTTGATACAAGGTAAGTGTTAAAAATATTTTTTATTAGATTCTTGGAGGAAGTGGTTTGGGGAATCAAATAAGAACAAGGCCGTGCCTAAACCAATGAAAGATGTAGCACAAAGGTCTGCCCTACCTGTCTAGAGGAAAAACAATGTTATGTATACAGGATATAATATATATATTTATAAATGTATGACTTTATATATTGTTCTAAAACAATGAACTGGAATCGAAATTTTAGAAAACCAATCCCAATAAGTTGAGTTGTGTAATGGTAGAGAAAGAATATGGCTTTTCCTTTAAAATAACAAGGCTTCATTGTGAAGAAAGTTAGACAAAGCAGAAATAGAGACGGAGATATTTGCAAAAGGGGGTCACACTGAATTTTGGAAGTGAATATGAGAAGTTCACAGCTGTGTTTCTATAAATATTGTGCCAAAGCCTGGGTCATTAGTACTTCTTTGATAACTGTATGTTGCGTTGTCAAATGTCAATGTTTTCAAATTGCAAAAGCATTTCTGGCCAGCAGGTGGCAATGTACTTCAGTATTCTAGAGGAAATTCTATTATCACTTGATAAGGGAAAGTGTATCATATCAAAAGAATTTTATAAAACTTATTAGTCTTAATGACGTTGAAGACGTATTCAGTGATGTTGTCTTTAAGTTCTATCTTGTGCCATAACGATGGAATAAAAGGCTGAACAAAACAATGAGCATATTTTTGCTCTTTCCTTTTTTGTTTTGAAGTAAAGTTTGTGTAAAAATTGATGTGTTTTTATTGTATTCCAGTGTCTCTGCCAAAAACATCTAAAAGGCTAAGGGCACTTAAAGATCACTTTCATTAATGACTTAAACCCCAGGTTTTACCTATGTTCTAGGCTTAAAATCCATCCTACAGGGAGCCTACCCGTTGCCATATTCCCAAGTGAAGTGATAACGGCACCAATCCAGGTATAAAGGGGAGGATTTTGCCTCTGGCTGTCACTGTGCTGTCTCACTGGCTGACTCTTTTATAGGAATATGGAACAGTGTTCAGAATGTATCTCAGCTCTGTCCCTTGATGCTAGAGTTGATAGGAAAAGATTCTTGTGTGTAGCTTGTTGCAGCACCTCTATGACAATTTATTACCAAAAGAAAAAAAAAGGAAAAAATAGAGTTATCTAAGTTTAAAAGATAAGTAGTGGAATAGAAGCAAGGACAATAAAAGAGTTCTCACAAGCAATTGTCATCATTTGATCTTGCCTCAGTATTGTCCCAGGTTTGATGCATACTTGCTACAGAGAATTAATGCTCCCTAGCAGTTCTAAAAAACAGGCATTGTGCAAACCCTGCTGTAGAAGATGCACTTCATTTTAATTCCCTTTCTACATATAGCAGCATCTGCACATTTCTATCACTTTTAGCAAATTGTCTAATGGCTACCTAGCTTCATAAAAAGATTCCTATTTGCCAGTGCCTCTCTCTATGTAGATGTGTACATAGGTATATATTAGCATCTATTTGGTATATATGCAAAAACGGGGAAAAAAAAGCAAACCACTGCCGAAGGACAATGCGTCTGCCCACATTTCAGTATACAATTGCATGGAAGAAATCATACAGAATAAATTCTGATGATTTAAAAATAACTCTGACTCAGAATGAATCATTTCTGTCTGCTATTTTCACTTGAATACTACAGAGTAAAATATCACAAGCAAGTTAAGGATGCAGTGGTTTTAATTTGTACCTGTTATGTAGATAGGTAAGATCTAACACTTCTCTGTTTCAACAGTAAGTTTATTCTGGTTGCCTTCATTTCAGTGGATTTGGGGAAGTTAACAGTTTGCTATGTGTGTGTAAGGAATAGGGCTGGGACAGAGCAAAAGCCCCTTCCTTCACTTTAGCTGGAGGTTGAAAAATTGTTAGACTTGGGCAAAATACTTTGACAAGAAAATAACATTTGAAAAGTCTATTGAATGATGTGGCAGATGTGCAATGCTCTCCTTCACCTCCAAGTCCTCCTGCTCCCCAAAATACCAAAGATCAAAACAAAGGAGAAAAAAAAAAAACAAAACACCAGTTAACTGTTTGAAACATTCTGAGAAGGAAACCTTTATTGTAACTTTTAGCATCTGAAACATAGGAGGAATAGATAAATGTGGAAAACAGAACTAAGTAACTGAATTACGGGGGTGATTTGTAAGGCCCTCTCTCCATTAGATGGTCCAGAAACTACTGGAGTGTTTGAGGCTGAAGTGAGAGGATTCTTACTGCCACAGTGTAAGAAAGGGAAAGTGTAAAGTTTGTAATGAAGAGCCCCCACTACAAGAGTGCTGCTGGACCCAGTCCCTGTTGAAAGTTCATGCTCTGTGTACATGTCTGTATCAGTGTTGGTGTCTTCAGCTACAGAAAGATAACCAAAGAGGTAGGAAGGCAAAGGAATGAAAACTTGAGTAACCTGGAAGCTCAGGCTTTTATTTTGGGTGATACAACATCAGCAAGGGAAGCCTGCTGAGGACTTGGATACTTTTCATTCCAGGATGAAATCAGTGATGGGATTTATTTTGATGTCTGTCTTGAACTTCAAAAGAGGATTACATGGCTGTGAAGCGTTACTTCCAGTTTAGAGGGGTTGCTCCTCTCTTCCATTGTAGGAACAAGAAAATGAGAGCAATCAGTGCAGCTCTAGATACAAAGCAAATGTGGTGGGAATCCTCTGAGCCAAGGAAAAATGAAAAAATTAGAATAGTATTTTACTTCTGCTTCTATTCCTGAAAACAAGATGGGACCAAGACTGTGCTCTGCTGCTGGGGGAAAAGTTGTATCTTCTTCCCCAACCCTTCCCTCCCTCCCATCAGCTTCTGGAGTTGTGGCAGGAATCCCAGGGCTTGTTGCTGCAGCTGAAAATTGCTCTGTACAACATGGAGATAAAATTCAGGTAGCTCAGTGATTTTCACAAGTGGTGGGCACAGAAGGAAAGGTCAGAGATGATTGAGGAGCAAGGATGAAACTGACTGTCCCCTCTAGCAGCAGCCTTCTGTTAGCCTGTTTAAATAACTGATGAAAGCACAGAGCTTGCCACTTACATTTGTAGGCAACGGCCTGGCCAAGCACTTGAGAGTGTTACAAACCTACACAAACTCAGCTACTGGCACGGATGCCTGAAAAATCTCAACTGCCCTGTTGTGTACATCAGGAGCACAGGATGTTAACGTGTCCGTTTAATGTCACTTAAAACTTCTGTGCAATTGACCTGACGTGGAAAAATGGGCTAACATTTCTTGTTGCATCTTCTATTTTCCCACCCCAACCCCCCAGCACACAGTTTGTTGTTGTTTCACAAGAAGCAGGATGTAGCAGAAATACAAAGTGATGGCTTGAAACAGTGATTGCACACCTGGTGGGAAGGCAAAGACAGCCCAGGGGAGCTCAGGTGCATGCAATGCACCTGAGTGACCAGAAGGGGTGGAGCCAGGATCCACCCCTTCCCAGGCCTCATAAGGGTTGACAGTGGAGGCAAAGTTTTCTTGCTGGAGATCCCTGCGTACCTGAGGCCTCTTAAGGGTAAGCAATATTTTTGCTTTGTTTCTGTGTTTATGGCTATTATATTTGGGTTTATTCTCACTTACTGTAGCATAGGACTTTGCTGCCTTGCTGTTTCTTGTGCTTTCCATCACATTATAGCATTACATGGGATCAAAATCTTCAATTTTAGCCTTCCTAGAGATCACTATCTTATGTGGTGCTGGTAGTGTGGTGGAGGATCAGAAACTTCTTTCTTCTCTCAGAATTGTACAGGGCATGAGTGTCCCCGTACTCTCTCTGCCTCTTGTTTTCCTTTTCCTTTGAATTAATTCTCAAAACAAGAAAAGAGTGTCATCATTGTATGATGCTGTAGCCTCACAGATCCGCAAAGCAATGGTGATGTTGTATTAAAGGGAATCTTGACATCAGCATGCCCTTTTACGACACCATTGAGAACAGAAAATATTGTTGTGCTACAGTTGCTTTAGGGGAAGGTATTTGGGTGTCCAGATAGTGCTGCAGGGACCACAGAGCTATTCAGGGCTGGTAGAGTGCTTGGTTACAAGATGGGCATCTCTGAGAATAGTATTCATGTAACTTTTCTAAAATTTAAAGCAACCCTAGAGGTGATCAGGACAAGTTTCTCCTAGGCTCTCTTTCTATTCAGTGTAGAGAGAGAGAGGTATTTCTGTTTCATTATCTATACAGTCTCCTTGAACCTTTCTTTGCAGCATGTTTTGAAGGGCTTGTTGCCATTTCTTTCCACAGACCTGTTATTAATAGTTCAGCCAATGTAGAAATGAATAGGGTATTTATAAAAGCTAACAAGCTGGACACTTCAGCAACACAGGAGTGAAGGTGTTAACTCATGCTGAATCCCAAGTGGCAGAGACAAAAGGAGAACAGCAGATAAAAATCTTCCTTGAAAAAGACAGGTTTTAATCCTCCCTCTCTCTGTTGCTGAGTAATGTTCGAGCTGCTGGACTTCTGGTGTCACAGAGGTGAAAGGGGAGAAGTGTCTATAACTACTTTTGTCCACAGTTGCATTTGGGAGGAAGAAAAAGAGCATGTCAAAGCAGCTGAGCAGCGCTGCCAGCTGGATTGTTACTACATGCCATGAGTGAGGAGCTGAGCCCTGACCTCTGGACCATCTCCTAATTATTATTTAGAAATAAAACAAAGATTTTTTTTTTTTTAACAATGCCTTTGTTAAACAAGGGAGGTACCACAAATCACCCTTTTCTTTTGATGGGAATCTTTATTTTCTATTTTCCCCCTAGTGAGTATCCAACACACAGGGGTTTCACACACATGCTGAGGAGAGAAAAGCACTGGTAAACATGCATGTGGTCACTGGACTGGGGAGCACAGGCATGACCTTTGCTTGGTGTAAGAGATTATTCTGTTAACTTCTGTGTCTCAAAGCTTGCTGGGGACACAGATGGACTTGTTCAAGTCCTGAGCAAGGATTGTGAAATCCTTTGTCTGAAGGACACAGATGAACAAGTCCAGGCAAGTCCTGGGCAAAGGTTGTGAGATCCTTTGTCTGGGGGATGCAGATGGGCAAGGCCAGGGGCAATGAGAGCGAGATGAGCTGCAGCTAAAAGGCTGAGAAGTGCTCCTTTGTGTGGACCTATCTCAGGATGATGGCCATCTTAGGGGGTACTCAATGACTCTTGCTCAAGGCCCATCCTTGTCATGTAGGCAGGAGAACAAGGAGGGTAAAAGAGGAACTGAAAACCATGAGGATGGGTTTCTGACAATTCAGATTCCTCACGGAGGTTTTCTGACAACAGATTCCTCACGAAGAATGGAGGTTTTCTGACAACAGATTCCTCATGAAGAAGAAAAGGGATTCCTGACGATTGAGGTGACTCCTGCATACTGTCAAACTCTCCTGTGCTTGCTGCCTGACCACTGTTGCTGCTTCAAGGATCGGCTCCTCGACTTCTTCGCCTACCTGCCTGCTGCCCAAGGCTGGCCACGCTGCTTCTCGCCCCCTCCCCTGCTGCGTCTGCCTGGGACCTTCAAACGCCGTGCAACGGGACTGTTGCTGGATCCTGCTGGTGACTATCCTCGCTTTACGCAACTCCTGCTTCTTTTCCATCTTTTCTATCACCCTCATTCCCTTCCCCGTCTCCCTGATTAGGTTTGGTAATAAACTGGATGGAACAACATATGAACCGTTGTTTCTTAATCTCATGCCGGGTATACAGATATTAAAAGAACCTCATCTCCCTCCTATAAATTGGAGCGAGACAAGCTTCCTCAGACTTTCCTCATAAGGGAGATGCTCTGGTCCCTTCCACATCTTTGTGGCTCTGTGCTAGACTCTCTCAAGCAGTTACCTGTCCTTCTTGAACAGAGGGGCCCAGAACTGAACTGGATACTCCAGATGCAGTCTCACCAGGGCAGAGTAGAGAAGCAGGATAACCTCCTCCCAGTTGTGTGTCATCAGCAAGCCTGCTCACAGTGCGCTTTACTGCCTCATCCAAGACATTGATGAGTATGTTGAATAGTACGGGTCCCAGTACTGACCCTTGAGGGACTCCACAAGATACAGGCCTCCAACTTGACTCACTCTGTTCCACTGACCACAACTCTCTGGCTTGTTTCCTTCAGCTGGTTCAAGTCCACGTCACTACTTAGTTGTCAAGACCACGCTTCCTCAGTTTAGCATTTAGTATTTATCATGAGTATTGTAGTGCCTTATTAGCTCACTCTGCATGTATATCTGTGATAAATACAGGAGCACTTTGGGCTTACATGGTTTTTCTTGGACTCCTTATTTTACTGTAGAGTTTCTGAGTTCTGTTAGGCCTGGGCTTTGGCCTTGCAAGTAGCAACAAGCCTGGCTGAAGCTGCCCTGCTGGCACCCAGCCACCTCCATCCTGGCCTCAGGATGCGTCTCTTAGCTCCACGTTCCATCTTGCCAGGCTCTCGCTGAATGCACGCTTTGCTTTGTTTTATTTTCTGCCCCTGCCAACAGGCACGGCTTAGGCAAAGCACTTGAGTATTTTGTCTTGAAGTATTTACTTCCTCAGAAGCCTCCAGCCTGGCATCCAGTCTAATTCCCAAAATAAGCCAGTAAGGACTTGAATAAACTGCTTGCAGGTGTTGCCCAGCTGCTTCACTGTGAAGAGCCCTGGAACTTTGCACAGGCCCTTCAAGCCAGAAAAGGATGGCCAGGACCTACCCTGCTGCCTACTCATCCTGATGGGCTGCTCCTGCCCCCAGGCTGGGATGGGGCTGCCCAGCCCTCCTCCTCCAGCTGCCTGCTGCTGCCTTTTTTCCACTCACAGCTGGCACTCTGAGATCATCTTTAACACTGCTGTTTATGAGATACTTGGCCATCTCCCCCACCGCAGACAATGGAAGAGGAAAACGAAGCAATTGGCAGCAGCCAGCCAAATGGCTCCCTCCAGAAGTTGTCTGAAGCAGAGGAAGGGGGCCCACGGAGAGACCTGGGGAGTACTGTCCCCATCTAGATCAAGGGGCCTGGCAAGAAGGCAGTTTCATCCCCTGACTGAGCAAAAGCCAGATAACCAGGTTAGAACCTGGTTAGATAACCAGGTTAACTCCACCATCTGTAGATGATGGAGAGAGGGTTTAACACCAGGTTTCTGCTGTCTGTAGCATGCATACATCTGGACACAGACCTATGCTCCACCAGCAATGTGCTGGTAGCCCTACTTACCCCCAGGCTTTACTCCCACAAGCCAACCCTATCCCCCACTACCACTAACAGCAGAGCAATCTAAATCCAGGCCACAGGCAGAGCTGTCAGCTGCTGCAGCTGGGCTGGAAATCTGCTCCTGCTGGTGTTCGCCATAGGGAATTAGGCCAAGGGAACAGCACTGGGAGGTCAGTCTCCAAATCCAGTGTTTAAAGGGAACTTTTTTTTACACTCATTTTCACACATGCCTATTTGTGTGCCTTCATGCCATTGCAGAGCTCACCTGGCTGCATTTCCACATGCAAATAATTGGTATGCGTGTTTTCGGTGCTTGTGTATGCACATGCATACATACACACTGACAGGAGGAGAGGCATTGCATTAAGCTGACTGCATCTACGTTTGAAGCAGATTTGATAATGACCCTAAATATGGACCCAAGTGTTTCTTCTGCTGCTAACTGACCTAATGGATTTCATATTTGTATTTGCGGTATTTGTCACCACAAAATGCCAAGGAATCCTCAAGCTTGATAATGCCCCTCTCCTTACTCACTCAGCTGCAGCCCCTTACACAATATTTTGTCTGATTTACACAGAATTCCTGACAGGACCAACATGCACCCTGTGTATTCACAGTTCCACTACATGTCAGGGATTGGAAGGGAACTTGAAAGATCATCCAGTCCAATCCCCCTGCCTTAGCAGGAACACCTAGATTAGGTCTCACACAAATGTGTCCAGGCAGGTTCTGAATGTCTCCAGGGAGGGAGACCCCACAACCTCTCTGGGCAGCCCATTCCGCTGTTCTGTTACATTCACCATAAAGAAGTTTTTTTTTCTAGTATTAATGTATTCATTTTTGATCAGATGCGGTGGAGTCTCCTTAACATCTCTGACACGTGCTTCCAGTAGACAGCAAAGCTCTCTGGAGAGGTTGTCGGGCAGCAGATGGGGGCCTCAGTGCCTCCTGGCATGGAGTCTCCAGTCACTAAGACAACGCCGGGCAACGGTGCCCAGCAGCTGCTCCCTGGCAGGGGCTCTCCATCACCCGCTGAGGTGATTCCCTGCGTCAGCATGGAACCGGAACCCCAGAGCCGATTGCATCACACAAACGTGCTGTGTTTGAGGGCCTGCAGGGTTGCCCTGGCGACCTGTCTGGTCCCCAACCTGGGGCACGTCATTCATTCTCTGTGAGGTGACACTGCAGTGTGGTGTCACAGTGGCTGCGTCATTGTATGGGAACTGCTGAGTCACGGCCTGAACCTCTGATTAATCACCTGAGGTGAGCCTTGAGTCAGCCAGAGGAGCAAAGGTGAAGGCAATTCACCTGTGCTGCCGGAAGGGGTGGAGCCAGGCTCCACCCCTCCTGGACCTACTTAAGAGCTGGCTACGAGAGGGGAAGGATCTCTTCTGGAGATCCTCCTCTTTTGGTATCTTCTAGTGAGCTCAACCCAAGGGTAAGCTCTTCTACTTATTCTCTTTTGCGATCCTTGTTTGCTTTTGCCTTACTCTTTTGATTATATTGCAATTATAACATCTTGGTTATACAGTCATCCACCCTTGTGTCAGGGGTGGGAGCGGTGGCTCAGTCCGCTTGTGGGACCCGCAGGAAGTGGAACCAGAGAGAGCTTTGTGTCTATCTGGAGGCATCCTGCTATCATGGAGAGGCTGAGAGCCCTTCGAGGTGAGTCCCTCCACCTCTCTGGACACCACGATGCTGCCCGAGCACACGTGTGCTTCCAATGTCTGTTTAGGACGTGCCAGCAGCACTGTCCTTGCTCTGCCGAGTACAGCTGCCCACCATGGTTTCCCCAGTACCCCAGCAAGGGGAAAGCTCCCTCCCCTGTCCCCACCAACCACACGCAGCCTCGCGCTGTGGAGCTGGAGGAGCGTTCCTCCCACAGCTGGCCGGGTGCTCGGCCCTGGCTCCAAGCAACACCTGCAGCAGCTGCTCTGCTCTTTCCTTCCAGGTCTCTTTGCGTGTGTGGGCTGCGTGCCCAGGCGTACGCGTCGCAGGGAGAGAAGCAGGGTGTCAAGCCCTGCCCCTACCTGCGCCGCGACCTTACTGCTTCAGCGCCTGCAAGATCAGGAGGTGAGTTGGGCACATCCAACCAGCAACCCTTGCCCTCCTGGCCCAGGGCCACGGTGCCGTGGGTGCCAGGCCCGGCAGCACATCCACAGAGCGATGGGTGGCAGCGGGCAAAGCGAGCGTGACTGATCCTTGTCCCCAGGGTGACCGAGCGCAGGCGTACTGTGAGCTGGAGAGCGCCCTGTGCCAAGACAGCAGCTGCCCGCCGTGCGGAGTGGTGAACCGGCTGCTGGCAGAGGTGTCCCGGGACCTGACGGCAGCCCAGGTGAGGGCTCACTCCCAAAGGCAAAGGGAACCGCCTGCCCACGCTGGTGTTCTGCTGGCGGATGGTGGTGGCTTAGCTCTTCCAAGGGCCTCAGGCAGTCTCCTGGGCCGCGTGTCACCAGTGCCTCTCTTCCAGGGCGTGACCAGCAATGTCAAGACAGCTGCCAGCAATGTCCTGGTGGCTCTGGCTCGGACGCACTTCACCTTGGTGATGGCTGAGCTCCAGAGCCACCTGAAGGCCACGGGGGACATGTCCAAGGAGTTTGTGCTCATCACCCTGAGCAAACTCTTCAGCACCTATGGTAGAGTACCCTCAACCTCCTGACATCTAGAACAACCGGGAAAGGGGTCTCTGCCCTCTGCGTGTGATCTGCACTGAGCTGGGGGCTGCAGGGCTGCTGTCCACCTACCTTGCTGCCGGGGCTCTGACTGTGGCCCTCTCCTTCCTCTCTGCAGCTCCACAGTGCATCCCCTTTGTGTGGCTGATGCTGGCAGGCCTGCGCAGTGTGGTGGGCCAGGTGAAGAGTGGCCAGATCCTGCGCATCGCTTGTGCTGGTGAGTGCCGGCCCCAGAGCAGCCCTGCTGCAGACTCTCACAGACTCCGTTTTCTCTCACTCTCTTAAAAAAAAAAAAAATAATAATAATAATAATAATTTTTTTTTAATTATTTTGTTTTTTCAGTTTTGAAACAGTGGCTGGATGGAGTCAAGAATTACTTGTCCTCAGGAATGCAATGCCCCTGGGCTGCCATGGAGAAAGAGCAGATCTATGAAAACCTTCGTGAGCTGCTCTTCTCTGTGGTGTGGAACTGGCAGGACTGCCAGGAGGAAAAGGTGAGCACTGCTGCATTCCCAGCCCAGGATGGCAGCAGGGGCACCCATGTCGGCAGCTCTGTCTGTGCCCAGTGGGCTGAGAGCTGAGGGGTGATGAGAGGGAGTGGGCTGGCTCTGCAAAGGGCCCTGAAGTGGCTCTGTGCCAGGGAGCAGCTGCATGTCACAGCATTGTGGCAAAAAGAGCTGGGGATGAGGGTATGGGGAAAACCTGCCTGCTCTCCAGAGC